CTTTTGTCTTTAGGAAGGCGAAGTACCCTGGCGAAACGCTGCGTTTCAGTTTTTACGAACAAGTGCCAGGGCCGAGAGAAGGGGCTCCTTCGGCCAGCTTATGGCCGTGATTTATCAGGCACAAACATGAAGTTATTGATCTTTAGGTCAAGTTTAGTAAGTTGACTCAGTCTTGAGAAATCAAGCATGGAGATATCTCCTTCCAAGTTGTTGTTTCCCAAACGCAGTCCTACGAGGTTTGTGCAATTCATCAAAGATGGGGGCAAAGCACCTTCTAAATTGTTGAAATCAAAGGTCACAAACTTCAACTTGGAGAGCTTCCCCAAATTGAGAGGAAGCTTGCCGCCAAAATGATTAAAGGAGAGACAATTTTATCACTAATGGCTCCATGTAGTGAATTGAGAGGTAATGCAATTTCTTCAAGTTTGGTAGCATTATAGATATCTTCTGGAAATCATCCTGAAAGGTTATTGAGACCAGCATGAAAAACCTGCAGTTTGGAACACTTCCCTAGCCCAGGAGAAAGGTTGCCACTGAATACATTGGAAGAAAAATCCAATAGCCTAAGGAAGGGAGAAGAATGTTTGAGACAAATAGAGGATGGGACATACCCTGTGAAGCTATTGTTGCTAACATTGAAACTAGTCAAGTTGCTTGCTTGTTAGAAGAATGAAGATGGAATTGCACCAAAGAAGTGATTGCTGGACAAATCGACTGTTCGGATATTGCTGGATGATAGAGAAAATGGTAGCTCTCCAAAAAGACGGTTATAGCTCAAATCAAGGATCTCAAGTTGATTCAAAGAAAAGAATAACTGAGTTTCAAGTGAACCATATAGTGAATTGTGGGAAAGGTTCAAGTGGGTGAGATGTGTGAGATTTGCAAGTGAAAAGGGAGACATATCTCCTTTGAACCCTTTGGAAGGCAAGAGCAAACGGGTGACCCAACCATCTTGATCACAAGTGATGCCCTTCCAACGACAGCAATCAATGGATGTCCAATTTAAAGGAGGAGAAGATAGAGTGGAGGCAAAGGACAGGAAGGAGCTGCGTTCAGTTTGTTTGCAGGCACGAATATTTGTAGATATAATGCAAGAGAATAAGAGGAAGAGAAGGAAGCCATGAGCCGTTAGGTTATAAGCTTTGCACTAGCATGTTGCTTTGTGTATGTGCCGTTGCTCACATGTATTTATATATATAAGAACAACCATGCTTGAAAACAATGCAAACCACCACCACACAATGCAAATTGAGAAGTCGGGAAACAACAACCACTGAATGCAAATTATTGATATTGAAACCTTTGGGCCACCAGAAGAGGACTTGGCCTTCAAAAAGTACTCAATGTTGTTGCTGTGATATATCAATCACAAGAAATATCTGAGTTCCCTTGCCAATATCCATGCTGGTTGCGTTATCGACTTTATCGACTTTACGACTTTATTGCAGAGTTGTTATAAGCTGTTTAGGACGTGTCATGATTTTTTTTGAACACCAATGCGTTTCAGATTTGGATGCAAATAACTGATACCAGCTCATCTTCCGTGTTAAACCCTTATCGACTTTATTGACTTTACGACTTTATTGCAGAGTTGTTATAAGCTGTATAGGATGTGTCATGATTTTTTTGGAACACCAATGCGTTTCAGATTTGGATGCAAATAACTGATACCAGCTCATCTTCCGTGTTAATCACTCAAAGTCCAAGGTCAAAGTCATTTTTTCCAAGTTGTTTTCAATAATGTTGATAGCAATAATGTGAACTTCCAAGTAACAGGATGCAAATAACTGATACCAGCTCATCTTCCGTGTTAATCACTCAAAGTCCAAGGTCAAAGTCATTTTTTCCAAGTTGTTTGCAATAATGTTGATAGCAATAATGTGAACTTCCAAGTAACAACTATAATAAAATATTGATAGCAATAATGCGACTACTATAATAAAATATTGATAGCAATAATGTTCAACCCTCTAAGTGAGCACAACTTAACAACTATATTTAGCAATATTGCTAAATACATTGATGGCAATAAAATGAGCCCCAACATTCAAAAAGCAATTATGCGAACTTCCAAGGCTAACATTGATTGCCTAAGAGGAAAATTTTCATCTTCGAATTTTAGATAACAACACTATCTTTTTTTTCTTTTTGAACTGGAGTGGGGAGGGCAATACACCCTAGAAGCAACTACACAGAATTAGAAATACAAATCAAACAGGCTTTAGAGACCTGACCCAACTAAGAGGTCCCCAAAATAGTAGAGGCCTAAGTCCAAATCATAACTCCAGTTAGCTAATTAGCCTCACAATATCATTTCCCAGGAAAAAAAAAAGTAGAAAAAGAATTAAAACCATGGTAACGACTGCCCCAACAGATTAGGCAATCGTACTTATAAGTTTATAACTTAATTGATTCAAATGCTACAAATACTTTAACTTTTTCATTGCAACTGGAAGAAATGAGAATATTCCTTACCTCTTGTTTATCCGTTTTGATGTAGTGGTAGGGTAAAGTTCCTCATTGACTTGAAAATCATTGGTGGTCAACAAGTCAACTTTCTTTTATATGCGAGCGTGCCACTGATATCGGTTAAAAAACCCTAACAGACTGTGAACTATAATAACTTGCGCCCCAAGCTATTGACTTTGATAAAATGATTGTGAATTTGGGTGAGAAATATCTCCCAAGAAAGTTCTTTTCTTACCTCAGACGGGTGAGGACTTTATAATTTCTCGCAGTAAAAACTAGTAAGTTTAGCCAAAAATAAGTGTTTGAAAATAAAACAAACGAGTTCAAGAAGAACGCTTATCATACATTAAATAAAAGGAACTAAGAAGTCTGGGAAGGCATCAAAGCATTGGACTTCGATTTATGCCTGGATTGTCGTCTGTGACTCAGGCTGTATTGGATGTAACTGTACTAGAATTGCACGTCAGCACCTTCAACTAATGGAGATTAGCTGGAAATTGACACCAATGTTAAAATTGACAGAGCTATAATAAGTTTGAGCCATGGATAGGCTTGACAAATGGGCAAAATTGGGAGTTTGTATCTGTTCTGCCTGTTCTGGAGACTATCTGTATGAGATTAAGACATCCTGGTGTCTCTGTTGTGTATGAACTGGGGTTTCTCCAACAAAATCAATGAACACCGTGCTTCAAGAAAGTACTTAAATTTCAATAATTTAATTGATCATGAGTAGTCAAATGACATCGGATTCAAGTAAGCTTATTTGATGGATCCCTCAATGGAACACCGTGCTCTCACTTATTTGATGGATCCCTCAATGGAAGCTCTTTATATATATATATATATATGCGCAACGCTGCTTGCAAAGGATGCAGGCATCACTGCCAATTGAGAAGTCGGCAAATAACAACCACACAATGCAAATTATTGATATTGAAACCTGTGGGAGCAAATATTTGCGTCTCCTGTCATAGCACGCCACGTGGAAAAGAAGAATATCACTTAAATTAATTAATTGAACCAATTTATTTGGCCAATTAATTAATAGGGATAATATCTTAATTATAGGAGATTTATTTGGCCAATTAATTAATAGGGATAATATCTTAATTATAGGATATTATCTTTATTTAATAAGGTAATATTATTACTTCAGATATTATCTTAATAAAGAGATATAGTCATCATCAAATTAGGAGATTTGGATCACAATCAAATCCCTAATGGACTCAATCCCTACAATTTGGGTAAAGAATAAACTCCTTCATAATAAAAGTTTTATTATCTACGAAACCCTAGCCTCCGAGACTCCTATAAGTTAGATGGCTTCATTCATCATTCAAGGTACTTCTAAAACCTGAGAAAAATACCCGAAGCTCTCTCCACTCTCCACTCTCCATATTTTCTCTACATGGCTTTGGCCACCACACACGGCTCCGGCCACCCGGTTCTCACCCTAGAGAAATCTCCGTACCCTTTTTAGCTATTGTTTCACCTAGGGGTGGGCATTATTACCGAAAACCCGATCGAACCGGACCGTTGTTGGTGGTTTGGTTCGGTTTTTATAATTAAAAATGCATGAACCGGTAAAAAAACCAGCCGAACCGGCCATGAACCGGATTGAACCGGTTTAATTTTCTCCAAACCGGTGAAAATCGGACCGGACCGAACATTTTAAATTATATTATTTTAAAATGAATTAAAACATGTGGCAACAGCTGATTCGTCCATTTTAAACCCAAGTCTACACCTTGCCACACTCGATCGCTCGCTCAAACAAACCCTAACATTCCATTTCTTCAGCCGCTCCAAATATTTTTTCACTTCTCTCTCTCGATTAGATCTGCTGCCTCTGCCGCTCTCACTCAACCTCTCACTCAACCTCCTCTCACTCAAACAAACCCTAACCTAAGTTCTAACATTTCATTTCTTTAGCCGCTCCAAATTTTTTTTCACTTCTCTCTCTCGATCAGACAGATCTGATCTACTGCCTCACTCTCTCACTTAACCTCCTCTCCCCAAAAACCAAATCCGTCGACTTCTTCTTTCAATCTCTCTGTCACTATCGTTCTCTCTCTCGCTCTCTCTCTTTCTCTCTCTGAGTCACTCGCAAGATGGC